GGGGATCGGCACTAAACTCGGGGAGGAGTTGAGATCCAGACGGTCAAGGATACCGGGTGACGAAGTTTGATATGAGATGGCATACGGTGGATGGACATTATATGGGAGAGATCTTCGCAACGGGCTTCACGAGGTGTGCGTGCAAGCGTCGGTGTTCGCGAAGGGAATTGAAAAGTTGGAGTATATGGTGCTACAGTACACGAGGTACTGTAGTGTGCAGGTATGCATGCATGTACGGTGCTGTATATGTACGTGTGCATGACCGGTTGGCCGAGCAACAGCAGAGCGGCTCGGTGGGCTTCGGTGGCTGTTGGCGGCATGCCAAGTCGGCCCAGGAGAAGCAAGGGCCCAGCTGGCAGCGAGTCGGAGACGGTCACGCGTGGACGTCAGCTTGGGAGCAAATCAGTTTTGGATTTCTGGTGTGGCCGGTTGTTTGCTGCACGTTTGGAAATTGTAAAACGTATGGAAATTGAGAGATTGAGTCCTGTTGTGAATTGGAGTTCAACACCTATTTTGAGTAGGAGGTTTTTATGTATAAATAGAGAGGGAGGGGGTGGCCTCCCGGTATCGGTTTTAGTAATCCGAGTTTGAGAGATTAGATAAGGTTTCGTGAGAAACTTTTGAGGGGTGCTGTGGCTGCACCTTGTAAACAATATACTTGAGCAATAAAGATCATATTCAATCATCAAGGCATCGACGATCTATTCCGGTGTCGTAAGTTTTATGTTTATGTTTGGTTTTAGCATTAACTTGTGATTATTCGTTTTGCTGCGATTTTGTCCAAGTTAATCCATCCAAAATCTTTCTAATACTTCATAGATCAGATTTGAAAAGTTTCGTTGATTGGTTCTTGTTAGATTTGAATTTGCTTAAGTTTTAGGTTTAGTTCAGATTTGCTGAAATTCTGAGACAGCTGAATTTCGAGGGTGTTTTCTCTTAAACCGTTTATTAGTTTGCAAATCCCTCCAGTGGAGTTGTTTCTTGGTTTGTATAGTTTATTATGTAAAGTTTGCAACTCGATCCAACGGTTGGTTTAAGAGAAATCGTGTTTTTACCGAAGCTCTGTCGTGCTGTTTTTAGTCTGATGGTCAAACCGCGAGAGGAACAGCGGTCAAACCGATTAGAGTTCGGTCAGATCGATCCTAGTAGGTCGGATAGACCGCCAAACATGTGTTCCATTGGCTTTTGAGGTTGGGGTGTGTTTTGATCTATTAAGATTCGATTATTTGACTTCCGCTGACGAAATCTACCATTCACCCCCCCTCTGGTAGGCTTGGTTACTTGTGTTCGATCCTACAGATTGTTCCTCGAACCAGCGCTCGCGGTTAGAGGGGTTCTTCTTTTTCTCCCTGCTCTAGCCCCTAGTGTGCAGGATAAATTTTCACTAAGTAAGAGTTTCTATATAGGATAGATATAGGATGTACGTGCGCACATCACAGGGACGGAAGTAGCAGGGGGCTTGAACACCCCCTAAGGCCATGTTCGATTGGGCCGAGAACGGCCGGGGTCACGGCCCAACCCCCGTGGATCAACCTGGCGAGGAAGCAATCCCAGCCCATGGGAAAAGTTGCGTTCGGTTAAGCCCAGACGATGATTTTAACCCGGCCCACCACAGGGTTCCCCTATTGTCCAGGCCCAAGAAAAAATCACCTAGTGCGGAGGCTTGGAAAAAACACTTAGAGAGGCGGCACAACGAGAGGAGGCGCTGCGGCATGACTCGGACGCGACGACGACGACACGCTCTCTCCTCGGGCAGCTGTCTCCTCCGGTGGCCACATGTTAATGACCAAATTTGGTAAATTATGCATCAGCTGAAGCGGATTTGGAAGGAAATTGACAATCACAGAAACAGAGCAAGAATCAGCATCGAATTGCGTCGGCTATGGTGTGCATCGGCTAATTCCGAATCGGATAAGGGAAGCCGATGTAGCCGATTCCAACAAAGTGATGTTGGAATCATTGTCGGATTTTGTTGGTGTGCTTCATGAGGATTGCCACCTATGGATTAAGTCTGAAAAAGGCAATTATGTCTATTAATTAAAAAATAGTTTGTTAGTTTCTTTTATCTTTAGGAAAGTGTGTTTAGTGTCCGATAATGACTTTAAGTTTTCCATTTATCTTTAGGATAGTTTCTTTCTTCTCCTATAAGGACTAGTATCTACCCATGGGTATAAATATGTACACCCAGGGTCATTATAATATCAATCTTTCGATCAATGCAACTCTCGACGCATCACCACCCTCTTTACCGAGGTTTTTACTTATCAACCGGCGGAAGTTGGCACATGATGCGGGGCTGCATCGGTTCAGTTCGATCTCCGGTGAAGCGGTAAGTCCTACGTTCCGCCGGCCCAGGTAAATATATCGGTTACGTCAGCGTCGTCCAAGGCTGCATCAGTACATTTGACCTCTTGGATTGCTCTGGTTTGGTTGATATATTTGCCTACCTGATATCTCAATTCTATCTCTGATTGCATTGTGTTTAGAGACGCATCGGTTTAGTTGGAACTGTCTCGGTTAGGTCCGATCTTCTGTCTTAGCCGATATATCTCTACAATCACAATGTCGTTCTAAATAGATTTATTATATCCATCACATTAGACAGATCTATCGGCTTATCGAGTATTAGATTATCATACAATCTCGTGCTGCATCGGTTGTGTCCGACCTACTAGATTGTTGTTGATAATATAAGTCTTGTTAAGCCAATAGGTTCATGCTAGTGTTTTATCGGGGTGCTAGCCGATAAGTTATCTGGACGTTGCATCGGCTTATAAGGATCACATATACATATGAGCTGGATTTAGCCGATCACAACAAAGAGTTTACTGATTTATCTAATCTTGTGGATTCTATGACATCGGACCTCCAGCCGATGTATTATTTAACCTTCGGATCAGTACGTGTTCTATCATATCATATTGTTAGCCGATTGGTTTCTACTGGATAATATCATTATATATTTTATTACATCTTCATCAGCCGATTGCCTCCATATTGTTATTTATATAATGTCGGAATCTACATTGGATATATAGCCGATAGCTCAAAACCCTATCAATATCGGCTGGTATCGGCATCGGCTGGATTACTCCATCAGCTTGTCAGCCGATCGACTCATTGATCTACTGTTTACATATCTTGTCAGTTGCAGGATCAAACTGACTGGCACGTCCGCATCTCATCAATCTTTGGACCTGCACTGGAGCTAAGCAGATCTCCCAGGCCAGTGTTTGTTTTTTGCATCAACACCACCTTCTCCCAAGTCCCCTTCCCCTCTCCCCTCCTCTTCTAGGGTTAGGGCTTCTCACGTGCGCGCTGCTGCTGCGGCAGCGACAACGCACGGTGGTGGCAGGTGTGGCGAGGACGCTGCTGCATCACACCCCCTCGCCATGGCTCCGTTGAAGCTCCGCCGCTGCGGCAAGGAGAAGTAGGAGGACACGGACGTGGTGACCGCTTCGAGTGTTCTTTCTTCCACTGGTTTCTTTATTTGTTCTTCTTTCTCCCCTTTGATCTGTTACCTAGATTTCCAGATTTCCTCCTCCCTTAGTTCTTGGAGGTCCTTAAATATGATTGTTTGATTCTCATTATGGCATACATTTACTATTATTTGTATGCAACTTTGGCTTTTCTGAGGCCGTGCAAAAAGACTAGCAATATTTGCATATTTGTTTCCGACTCTTGCTTCCATATGCCGCTTCTTCTTCGCGATCAAAGTCATAAGACTATCTATGTTGGGGGGAGTAGCTTTGACCTTGCCCGGAGAGGACAAAGGCTCCCATTTTCTCCCACCAATCTTGCTCTCGATGAGCTCACAAGCGGAGGCTCCGAGGAGCCACCGCAGGGCCCTCGGAAGCCGCCCCAAGGGGAAGGGGGCGCTTCAGAGGCTTCGTCAGGCTTCGGGGAACGTGACCCCGAAGGGGGACCCCGGAGGCAACAGCCAGGATAACATCGCAGAGAGCCTTAATCTCGCATTTTAGGCGGCCAACTACCTTTGATACTGTTGGCTCAACACCCTAGGTGAAGGCCAAGGTACATCGTTATCACGCCTCAGCCTCGAGCAGTGCACCCCGGGAAACATGGGGTCCCCCGGGAATGCTGGCTTAATGGGCGCAGTCCCATACGATGTCCCTTGGAGAGTTACCAGACCGCCCTTGAGCGGGGGCCACTTGTCAACCTCCATCCTTGAGTTAAGCCCAGAAGGTCTATCTCTGTAATTTCCCTTACCAATGTAAGACTACATAAAGATGTAATACGCCCCCCCCGGGGGGGAGGGGGAGAGGGGGGCAAATGAAATAATAGATAAAAACCACATCCCTTCTTCCCTTGTGCTTGAACCCCTTTGGATTTTATTCCAACATTGGCGCCGTCCATGGGGATCGAGCAAAGAGAGAACAAAGCAGTGCAAGTGAAGGATGCCTTCAAAGCATGCAACGAAGCAGAAGGACACCACGGCAGCCACGCGACTGTGTAGGGCAACGCGCCCCCTGGTTTGGCTGGGTGAACTAGTGATCGCCCCTCCGGCTGACGCCGACGGTAGCGCCACCGGGAGTGGCACCAAACTTGAGCCCGAGACCCTCTGCGATGCGGCCGTAGAACCTATCCCACAGGTGGCGCCGGCGGGTGATCTAGCTACGGACATTCGCGCTCCGGGGGCGCCGACGCGCGGATATCCGTGAATTAGGTTTTTCGGACCTGTCGTGGACGGTTTTGGCAATATGATGGGTGAATATTTCTGATATTGCGGTTTAGAGATATAAATTAAACCCGACGTAAAGATGAAGGGATAGAAGGTGAACTTATTCCTTCTTTTTCCTTGAACGTAGGCTAAACTTTTTGATTTTTTATTGCCTAGGCGCCTAGCCCCTGTTCTCTCCGGATTGGGCCGAAAGCCAGCCCACTATCCCTACTCCCGCAGGCCTGTAATCCTCAATTTGGGCCGCATTCTTGTTAGCAAAGACCCGACCCAAGTATAGAATCTAGGGTTTATAACAAGACCGAAGGAAGGACGAACATACAGATTCCTATCCTCTCTCGCCATGACAACAATGTCGTCGAGGCTCGCATCTCGCGCCGCCCGCTTAGCTGCGGTGGCGGCATCTCGCGCCGCCCGCTTAGCTGCGGCGTCCGCATCTCGTACCGGGGCCGGGGACCCCTCAGCGCGGGCCACCGCCACTGCCGCATCTCGCGCCGCTCGCTTAGCTGCGGCGGCCGCATCTCATGCCGGAGGCCCCACAGCGCGCGCGATTGCGGCTGCCGTATCTCGCGCCGCCCGCTCAATCTCCTCGAAGCTCCTTGACGACGACATCGCTGCCCGCCTCTCCTTCCGCTACAGCACCGAGCCCCCAGGTAAACCTTAACACCCAATCCCGCTCTCTTCATGGTCTCCCAGCAAATGAGAATTTTCAGAATATGCCACTCAATTTGCACCACCTTCAGGATTTGCCATTAATCCATGTTTGGCGAACAAAATTGCATAACACCGTAATCTCGAGAGAATTTGTATTTAAAAGATAATGCAGATGAATTCCTAATCCCCGTGCCTGAGAATTTCAGAATATGCCACTCAATTCACACCACCTTCAGAATTTGCCACTCAATTTGCAACTTTTTCAAAACATGCCACTAAGGACTCTAATTGTTTCATCCCCACCAAGCACGGGAATTGTTTCATTCCGTGTCACTCCGTCTCTCTGAAGTTACGCGTCGTCGCCCGTCCGTATCGTGCCGTCCGTTGCGTCATCTTGCCGCCGCCAGCGTGGGGAGGAAGGCCGCCGGCGTGGGTGAGGAGCTTGGCCGGTGTTGGGGAGGAAGAGCTCGCCATTCCGGTGCAGGGAGGAAGAGCTCGCTAGCATGAACGGTGTAGAAGCTTGCCGACATGGGGAGGAGAGCTCTGCCGGTGCGGGAGGAAGAGCTCGTGGGCATGGGAAGGAGGAGCTGCCGGCGTTGGAAAGGAAGAGCCACCGGTGTTGGGAAGGAATAACTCGCGCGGGAAGGAAGAGTTCACCGGCATGTACGGGGAAGAAACTTGTCGGCGTGGAGAGGAGGAGCTCTGCCGGCATGGGGAGGAAGAGCTCACCGGCGTTGGGGAGGAGGACCCGCCGGCGTGGGGAGGGAGAACTTGCCGGCGTGGAGGAGGAGCTCATTGGCGGCGCCCAGATGACTCAAACGGACGTCGTGACACGGGCGGGCGACGGCGCTCGGCTTCGGAGGGCGGAGTGGCACGGGATGAAACAATTCGCGTCCTTAGTGGCATGTTCTGAAAATGTTGGAAATTGAGTGGCAAATTCTGAAGGTGGTGCGAATTGAGTGGCATATTCTGAAAATAAACAGCCAACCATGGATTTAGTAACAGACTAATATTCGTGTCATCAAAACAATGTTGGCATTTATTGTGTTTAGTTTTTACACCATTATCACGTGTGATATCTCTCAGCTTGAAAGCTCAACTTTTCTACCAATAAAAATTTTGGCTGGAACCTCTTGAGCCAAAGGCTGGGATCTAATTCCATTATCTGAAACATCATATAAATTCTTCTTTGTGCTTGCGAAAAATCAAATTTGTTCACACTACTAACTTTTGCGAATTGAATTGTGATAGATGATGGTAAGTGCGTTACAGCCAAGGACCTCGAGTCAGATCAAGCCGTATGGGCCTTATATGAGCGCTGGTGCAAGTCATACAACAAGAAGCGTGACCATGCTGAGATGATTCGCCGGTTCGACATATTCAAGCTGAAAGCATCGCTTGTGCACAGCTGGAACAATTATGTTCATGAAGACAAAGAGGAATTAGCTCGTGCAAAAAAGAGAAGGGATTTAGGCAAACCTGTCGATCCTTGGTACCTACAAGAGGAATTAGGCCCATCCGCCGATGGGGGAGACACTGTTAACCAATACTGGCGGGGCATGTTGAAGGAAAATGACCAAGGGATGGATCTGCCTGACATCCAAGGAGGAAAAAAAATGAGCACTGAAGATTGAACATGTTACATAAGAGCGATTTAATTTGCTTATGGAAATCCCTTACCCTCAAGGAGTTGAACTTAGCTCCCCATATAAATCAACTGTAATAATAAGTTATGATTTGCCGTTCCATGTGTAGTCTATGCTTATGTCGTACCATCTTATCTAAGTGGTCATGAATTCCATATGCTTCCGCCTGTGGGAAGTTTGTGTATTTTAGCCTTTTGGGTTTACGGGCACAAGTGTTCAAACAGATCAAGATCAAGTGTGAAGATGGTATATATGTCAGTTGTTTGTACATTAATTCGTTGAGCAATAGGACGAAAGTAAAGGTGAGTATTGTCTTGTCTAAAAAATTCAACATTTTCACCATTATCATTCATGCATTGTTTGTTTATATATATATAAAAACGGAAAAGAAGGAAGGGGAACAGGAAGAGGTGCGCTAGGAAATTGGCAATAAACTAATAAAGAGGAAATTTATTCCATATTCTCAATTTGTCTGTCTAAAAAATTCAACATTTTCACCATTATCATTCATGCATTGTTTGTTTATATGTATATAGAAAAGAAGGAAGGGGGAACAGGAAGAGGTGCGCTAGGAAATTGGTATATATATAAAGAGTACTGCTTCCAATTTCCTCTTTATTAGTTTATACAGGAAGAGGTGCGCTAGGACCTTTATAAACTAATACATCAATCTTACTTGAATACATATAAAGAGGATGGAACTAAAGTTGTTATTTAGATTAGTTGGCTTATTGAACAAACAGCTGTTTATTACCTGTGTAAACAATTACTTAGATATTTTCGCCGGGTCAATTACTTAGATATTGATCATATGGCTTTTAATTTAGTTTATCTAGAAAAATATTTTTGCAACTTACTTGTTAGGTTGTTTGGCAATTCGTTGAGTTCGACATGCGCAGTCTTGATTTTTTTTTAAAACACAACACACTTTGTTAAACCACAGCGTTTAGGGGAATTGAATTCCCCAATACATCGCCCAGGATAAACATAAGAGTTGGACCATATTTAACAAGAGAGAGGTCAACTGAAAAAAAGAAGCAAACTTTATAATGAAACTAAGCAGCAATGAAGGAGCAAATCGATAGGGTACTGTGGCAGGGCCGCGACAATTGCATCCAAGGGCCTCTATTGATATGTACTCCGCTTGACGAACTGGTAAACCCCTTCGGCTGCCTCCACGGAAACGACACATATGAGAGGTTTGGTGCGAAGCCGTAGATTTTGGTGTGAACATCACCGGACTCCACAAAAGATTTCCACGGGGTTCATCATTGAATCTGACAAGCTTGGACTGCAAACCTGCAAACCAAAGTTGCAAATCCAATCTGGGCTCAACCCGAACGATAAATCCTGCATGGTTATTGCTGCCAAGAGATAAAGAGGAAGAATTTCCCCAAATCCAGCCAACCAAAGACTTAATCCAAAGATGGTGGCGAAGAACATGCTGTCTTGGTAACTCGATGGAGAAGGTTGAAGAAAAGGAGATCATCCGAGTCGCATCCACGCCGCCATTGCAGGACACATCCGCACCACCGACGCCGTCGCGGACTGCAACGGCGCAGCCGTCGCCGCCGCGGGGTGCATCGGCGCAGCTTTCGCCGCCGGGGGCCACATCCGCGCTGCCGTCGCCGCCGAGGGCAGCAACGGCATGGCCGCCGCCGCCGCGGGCCGCATCCGCGTGGCCGCCGCCGCCGCGAGCCGCATCCGTGAGGCCGCCGCCGCAGCTGACCGAAACCGAGTCGCCGCCGCCGCCACAGACTGCATCCGAGCCCCTGTCGCCGCCGCAGGTCGCATCCGAGCCGCCGCCACCACCGCAGGCCAGATCCGCGTCGCTGCCGTCGTCTCGGATCGATTCTGCGTCGCCATCGCCGTCACGAGCTGCATCCGCGTCGAATCCGCCTCCATCTCCAACTTCCATACCACACCAACGAGGAGGAAACGGGAAGAACCCGACCTAACGAGACTAGCCCGGCTACTTAGCTATACTAGGGGAGGGGGGACGACCCCTCTCCCTCCCGCCGCCGGCGACGAGGCCGCCGGAATCGAGGAGGAAGAGGGGTCGAGAGAGGGGATTTACTGTAGCAAGTGAGGTTTCGAGAGAGAGCGCTCGTGAGTCGTGAGAGGTTTCCGCAGCCTTGATTTCTAGTTACACGCGCAGCCTCAAGGCACCATCTGATTCTTTTCAGATTTCAGACAACTCGAATAACTTCAAATTTCAGATTCTTGCCTATAATTCTTTTGCAATGTAAAGAATTTCAATAAGTGCTGTAGGGCCAATTGTACAAATACCATGGCTTGCTGAACTAGGAGAACCTATCTCAATCTCTATGCCATGGTCGGAATTGTGTATCAACGCAGGAAAAAGAAGGGGAAGGAGATGGCGCACAGCTGTGATTGTGCCGAACCGTGAACAGTACCGCGCAGATCAGCGTTTCCGTTAGCGTGACAGGGGAGTTAGTTTCCTTTAAATCAGTAAATTGTTAGTTACAAGAGTAAGCCTATAAGAGGGCATCCATTCGGATATTTTGGATCCATTTTTACTATATCTCACTCGAAAGATTTTTTCTTATCTCTCACTCGATTTTCTCACTTAAATTTACAGTCCATTTTCTTGTAAGTTACATTGTAATTTATGAAACTTACACTGTAACTTGTAACTTTTGTAAGTTACACTGTAATTTTTGAATCTTCGCATGTAAATTTTAAATTTTGTATTGGATTTGGTCTTTTTATTGAGGATATGGTAATTTAGTGTCCATTATGGTGTTTCTTAATTGCTTTTTGCTTTTTATTATATCTATCGGATTTTAATCTAAAGATTAAAAATCTGTGTGATACGATCATAAAAATCTTTCGAAAGACGTATAGGTACTCCCTTTTTGGATATGCAATAGATTAATCTTCATCTCATCTCCTGTTTCTCTCTTCTCATCCCGTGTTCTCTCCGGCGATCCACGACGGATCGCCGTTCGCGCAAACTACCCAAACCTCGTCCACCCACAACTCACACATATCCCATCCGTTCACTATTGGCGCATAACAACTTGTTATCAGAGACTGTGGTTCAGGACGACACATCCAGCGATAAGCAGCCGCTGCTCGAGCCGACGGATGCCGTTGCCAAGCTGCAGGACACCATGTCCGACGTGCTCACCGGCTTGGGGTTGTTGGCGTCCAAAAGCGATCTTGCTGACCTTCGTCGTTCGGTGGCCGTCGTGACATCGCGTCTCACGTCCCTGGAACAGCAACCAGGGGTGGCCTCGTCTTCAACAACTCCGCTTCAACCTCGCCTCGGCGGCTCGGCGGCGCGGGCATGTTGCCCAACCCGTCCCAACCCAATCTGAACGTTGGCGCGGCAGAGCTGGCGGCGGGCACGGGGACAGGCGCGGGAACGGGCACCGGAGGCGGCAGCGTTCCCCGTTTCTACAAGCTCGAGTTTCCCATTCGACGGCAAAGAAGATCCTCTCAACTGGCTGCAACATTGCGAGCAGTTCTTCCGCCACAATCCGCTCGGAGAACTCAAACGTCTTTCCCAGACGGGGACCGTGGCGGCATATCAGGAGAAATTCCTGGCGCTCGCAAGCTGCGTCCAAGATCCCCTGTCGGAAGGGCAACAGGTGCAGGCTTGCAATGGATAACACCAACGCGGGCTGCTGCTCAACAATCACCAGCATGTGAGTCCGTCGCTGCCAGGTGCCAGTCAAACCCATCTTCTCTCATCGCCCACGCCCCTATACCTCCTGTCCAACTGCAGCATTGTTCGCTGTCCATCTAAAGTCTTACAGCTATTCACCATACGGTTTTGCTGCATTACGGTTCTTTGTGTTGCGTTGTGCAGTTCGGTTGGAGCTGGAGGACGACCAAGGCACAACAGAGAATGCATATCCGAGCCAAAATTATATATCAGAAACACCAAAAATGGTGGTACAGTAGTTTTTTTTTTTCTGTTCTCCACTCAACCAGTTTGGTTGGACCTAACTGACTGCAACTCAAAGAAGACCGACAGTTCGACGGACGGACACAAGATGAGTCTCCCACTGCTAACTTTTACATGGCAGACCTAACAAGATATTGTTCGTATTCTGTATGGATTATATGCAAAAAGAATGCTTTTATGGATATGTACTCCGGTTTTGCCATTCAATCAAGGATGCCGTTTCGCTTTCCTTTTTATCCTGGGCAAATCTTCTCTGCTACCCTGCTGGTACCTGCCATCCATACAACACGACCATACATAAATCACAATGCAACAAGTCTCATCTCACATAAATCACAATGCAGCAAGTCTCTCACAGAAGATTATCAGGTTAATATGTTATTTGTCTGAATTGGAATTGACGAGATACAACTTACAGATTAGTTGAAGCTTCAGGGGACTTGCGCACCTGACGCTGTGAGGTTGTTGGGCGTGCTCGCATCAGCAGCACAAGTGATCTCATTGAGAGGATTGCTGAAAACATAGAAATGGGCAGATCAAGCAATTAATTGTTAGTGGATCAACACATCAACAAATATCAGTTCTGGTTGACAAATTCTGATAAACTAATCGCTGACAAATGCAGAAAGTGCATATAGAAAGCACTACAAGATGTTACTATATTGCAGGCAGCATAAGTGACAACAAGAATTCTGGTAACTCAAGGATGGTAAAATTACCCAAATAATAAAGCATTGTCCTTAAGGAGGGATAGAATTGGACCTGCTTTATGCAAAATGCCGATCGCTACATATGAAAAACAAGGCCCAGATTCTGCTGTGGTAAATAACAACAAAAATGAAGCACAAAACCATACAATCTACCTAACCCAAATTCTGGTAACTCAAAAGCACAAGTACCAATAGCTAAGCAGATGACATATTAAGAACAAGCTATACCATATAATCTACCTAACCCAAATTCTGGTAACTCAAAAGCACAAGTACCAATAGCTAAGCAGATGACATATTAAGAACAAGCTATCTATCTCTCTATACTCATTCGGTAAAGGCAAGATATACTGAAAAAATAAAGTCTTATCCTTAATGACTTATGATTGGCTGATTAGTCTCAACAGTAACATGCAAAATTTGCCACTAAGGCACTGACCTCATAAATCTTGACATGGCATCAGCTACCTGAAGACAGTGAATTCCTTCCTCGGTCATAAACTCTGGAAGTTCACATATGTTTTTTTCTATATTCAAGTCAATTTTGATATCATTAGAGTTAAAAAAAAAAACTGGCATCCATTTGACAAAATATATGAACAAGGGCATTACTGAAGTTTGCATCAGACAGGTTGTCGATGGTTGGGCAAGTGCAGCTCAGATCATCCCTCTCCACTGAGGCGTATACAGCTATCTCGATGGTGTCTAAGTGGGGATCTAGATGAAAAAAACACAGATTAGTCACATTTAAGGCTAATGCATTGCTCATTGAAGTTTTTTTTTTTTTTTGAGCAAGGACCAAGGCCCCCATTTCTATTACCAGAAATGGATACAAGCTACAAGGTTCTTACAGAAAAGAAAGGGAAGAAAAGCAGCTAAAACATTTGCTCATTGAAGTATATCATATAATTACTTACGAGTCCAGTTCATTGTCCTGGATAGACCTTTCATCTGGTCTTTCCTAAGAATACGGTTTGATTTTGATCTGTTCGCGCCAGTCTGTATGATTTGACAGTTACTCTGATCATTTGGGCCTCCTAAATAAATTAGGTAGATCTTCAGAATTATGGCAATATATATGTTATACTAAAAAACGTAAGGTTTAACGTATAAGAAGAAAATTACTCTTGGAGTGTGGCTGTATATGATCAAATTCGTAGCCACAACAACCATGTTTGCCATTTAGCGCCTTCAGGACAGGATTTCCGTTGGCATCCAGCCGCCAACGATCACCAGATCGTCCAATCACCTTGGGAGCATTATTCCAGCAAGCTTCTCTTACATCTGCGCTGAATGAACGAGGTTTTGCAGGTGCTGATGCACGTAGAGCACGGGAAAACTTGGACACAAGACGGGAAAACAGACCCATGTCCTGCAGTTAACATAGCAATAGCATAAATAATCCCTTGTGGATCACTCCATAGATTTATCAATTTAGACAGGTTTGTAAAACTGACTCATAATATTTGATAACACATCTATCGGTATCTGTATTGAATAGCCATAGAATTCATATCACAACATCTAAAATACACATCAATACACAAACGTGCATCACCACTGACCCATTAGAGATATGAGTCGCTAAGTAGAAGATGTAATGTCAAATTAGCTACATCTGCAGAAAAATAAGTGCAGGTCTAACAAGCCAATTTAGCAGTTAAATTATGTGAACTGTCCATTACAAACATATCAAACAACAGGACATATTGGTATGCCAGTATCGCGCACCAGCAAGTTAAACGTGCCCTCAGCATTAACATATCATCTTCCACAAACAAAAAACACAATCCAGGTTGCAGTGCTGCACTACACTCACTATCTGGAGGAACCCAACTCCGTGAAATACAGCAGAATGCTACACTAACATAACATACTGTAACACTTACGGCAGACAACCGTAATTTAGAAAGGAAAAAAAATCGGACAGAGTTCAGGATCCAATCCGAATGGGACAATATGCAATTTCCGTAACAACTGATGCGAGAACCCCAATAATGATAATTTCCCGGTACTAGGTTGCAACATTGGTAAAGTCAGAAGCGATCACTAGGGAAATGCACAAACCCTGTAAATCCAACTCCCAAACCCTATAAAATCTCGCACGATCAAGGGAGACAAAACGCGCGGAAACGTTGCAGCACACGGGAATCGGGAGGCCGGTAGCCCAGCAACTTACCAAAGTCGAACCCAAATCGGTGACAAAGCCTTGGACTTCCTGGAGCTCCGTTCGCGTTCGCTCGCAGCAGCAGGCCTCCGGCGAACCGCGGAGAGGAACCCGCGCGCGGGGACGAATACTCTCTCCTTCTCCGACGCCGCCGTGCGCCGTCGGAGCCAAGCTGATCAGAGAACACCACGGATCAATTAGCAGGTAGCAATGAGGAGGGGGAGGAGAGAAGGGGAGGGGACTTGCCTGATGGGGAGAAAAGTTCGCCCCTCCTGCGCGGCGGACGGCGGTGAGATCGTCTCCCCAATTTCTTTTCCCCGCCCTAGCTCGAGAGTCGAGAGCAAATGGGGTCGCCTAAATTTTGAAATTCAAAGTGGTGGGGGTGGGGGCCACATACAGGCATACTACGAGGAGAGGCGCGTGAAGCTGAAAGCAGCCCGGCCCACCGAACCCAGGTTCATTTTTTCGAGTGGAGTAAGTTCACTTTGAGTCCCTCAAATCTCTAATACCGAATTCTGGGAGGATTCGCGTGTAAAAAATACCGAATTCTGGGAGGATTCGCGGTAAAAAAGCCCCGCCACATGGCCACCCGCGTGGTTCCAACTTCCCCCCCCCCCCCCTCCGACAGTCGTACGATCAGGTTTTATTAGCAAAATGTTAAACTCCACCAATGATACCGACCCAGACACCCAGTCCGGCTTGCGCGCTGGATAATCTATCCCGTGGATTTNTCCCATAGGGACATGTATTCTTTTTAAAGAAATTACTTTAATACTAATAAAATCTATGGAAATATCATATATGGAAAAAAATCATTCAAAGGGGTACCTGGGTTTATGGTTTGTATAATACCTTCGGAGAATTATAGCATGACAGTATACGCAAACAAACGGTCACTGGTGGAGAAACCATCTTTCGTCGGTCGGCCGAATTCCATAATAGTCCCGGATGCAATAAAAACCGGAGCTAAAGATGATCTTTAGTCCCGGTTAAAAAGGGTAACTGGCATATTTGATTTTTAATCCTGGTTGGTAACACCAATCGGGACTAAAGATGATATTTAGTCCCGGTTCAAATGCTGTTAGGGCCTGTCAGGCCCCCCCGGATCTTTAGTCCCGGTTGGTACCAACCGGGACTAAAGATCGTAACTTACCAACCGGGACTAAAGATCTCGGGGATCTTTAGCCCCGGTTGGAAATACCAACTGGGACTAAAGTCCCACCCCTATATATATGTCTTTTTCCTCCTCCAGCTGCCCGAGCAAGCTTCAAAATTTCTTCAAAAAAGAAGGGAGGTCATGCCAAAATTTCTAGTGAATTTATTTTGGTGATTACATACAAATAGGAGGTGCCTAAAAGGTTTGCAACTTCATCCTCCAATGTTTTTCTTTGTCATATTACATTTGGAGCTATGTTTTGCACACTTTTTTGTCTCCAAAATTTAGTTGTAAGTTGATGAGAGAGAAAATTTGTGTGGGGGAAGAAAGAACATATAGAAATTTAGTTGATTTGGTAAAGAAGGTTTTATAAAATAGTTGAGAAGGAAAATATAGTGAAAGTTAGTCTTAAATAATAGAAAACAAACTAAAATGAAAATTAAAAGAAGCAAAACACATTAAAATTTGTTTAAAACTTTAGAAATAGTAAATAAGAATTATTTAGTGTAATATTTTATGATTTTTGTATGAATAAAGATATGTCATTATTGTATGACTGTTGAAAGAGTTTGTAATTATCTTATAATTATTGTATGACTGTCATTATTGTAAGAATAATTATTTATGTACGATTTTTTTTCGACTCATGTAGATGGATCGTCAATGGATGTACGATGGCCGGCGGTCCAAAGAGTTTATTGACGGCGTGCATTATTTTTTTGAGAGTGGCCGAAGCTAACAGGCAAAAGGGTTTTATTTGTTGTCCATGCAATAAGTGTAAAAATCAGAAGGAGTATTCTGCATCCAGGACTATTAATTTCCACTTGTTTGAGTTGGGGTTCATGCCAAGCTATAACTGTTGGACATCCCACGGAGAGCAAGGGGTTGAAATGGAAGAAGATGAAGTGGAAGACGACAATATTCCAGACTTTGATCAGTACAGTGGATTTGAAGGAAATCAAACGGGCGAGAAGAAAATGGATGCTGATGGTAACGACGTTGCAGATGATCTTGGTCAGATGTTGCAGGACGCCAAGGAGGACTGCGAAAGTGAAAAGGGGGCCCATAAATTGGACAAGATGTTAGAGGACCACAGAACGTCGTTGTACCCAGGTTGCGAGCAGGGGCACAAAAAGTTGGATACCACTCTGGAGTTCTTGCAATGGAAGGCAAAAAATAGTGTTAGTGACAAGGCATTTGGCGATTTATTGACTCGTCAAGAACATTCTTCCGGAGGGAAACAAATTGCCCGAGACAACGTACGAGGCTAAGAAGATAGTCTGCCCTTTAGGACTGGAAGTTCAGAAGATTCACGCATGTCCGAATGATTGTATCCTATATCGTGGTGAGGAGTACAAGAACCTAGAAGCATGCCCTGTTTGCAAAGCACTATGGTACAAGATTAGACGAGATGATCCAGGAGAAGTTGACGGGCAATTAACAAAGAAGAGAATTCCTGCTAAGGTGATGTGGTATTTCCCTATAATACCACGGCTAAGGCGTTTGTTTAGGAACAAGGGGAATGTGTAACACTCTGAAAATTCGAATGACAAAATCAAAACTCTAAAAATACAGATTTTCAAAAACTTTTTAAATTAATTGCATCATGTCGATCTTATTCGTCTATTTCATCTGGATTTGATCTCGAAGATTATTAATCATGAGTAAAGAATAGTTAATTAGGAATAAACCTTAAAAACAAATTGGTAAAATAAATACAAAATAAATATTAGGTGGGATAGAAATAAATAAAATATTATCGCGACTATATTTGGATCAATTAAATTTGAATACGATGGAATAAGAATTAACCCTAATTAAAACTCAAATAAATTACATGAAAATAAAATATGAGTAATATTAATCTAGGGTGAATTCATTAGTTGAGATAATACACATATTGAGTAAACTTCATTTATGCAAGATTTAGAAATTATAGAATCAAATTCATATAGAAAATAATATAAAATTGGGAAAAATAGGAAAAAGACACTATTCATTAGCTTCTAGGTGTTCGACGAGGCTCCCTAGCCCCTTCCCCTCCCCTGCCATGCGCGCCTCGCGCCCCGAGCCGTCGCCGTCGCCGCCTGCCGCCGTGCCGCTGTCGCCTGCCGCGCCGCGCGCCGCTCGGCCGTCACCGTCGCATCCCTCCTCGTGCCGCGCGCCACCGCTGCCGCCCCGTCACCTCCCGTCCCGTCGCCGCGCGCGTCCCATCGTCGCTCCGAGCCGCGCGCCGCCGCTGCCGAGCCGTCCCCATCGCCATCCCGCTGCCGCGCCGCTCGCCCGTCG